TGAACCTATTGGAGACCAAGACATTTGTCCGCCTTTGAAGCAGATGTCACATGAGTTTCCTTCACACAAACATCACATGTAAATTTAACTTCTTGGTACTGTGCTTTAAGAACAAAAGCAGATATCAGAACAAGGAGGACACTCCTCCAGAAATAGCTTATCAGCTACAGAAAATAAAAAAAAAAGTTAAAAAAAAAAAAAAAGACAGTGGCCACTTACAAGTCTTCCACGTGACTAGCTTGCTTTAAGGAGAGCATCAAGTTAAGGCAGTGTTGAGACAACTGGCTAAGAACATGCCAAATAGAGCTGTTGTCAGTAGTCACCAATTTGATATCCTACTCCGTGTCAGGGACAGGCCACGTAGCTTTAGATCTCAGCATCAAGGTCTAAAGACTTCAGTCACAGGATGCTGCTTTCTGCAGCAAGCAGGAAACTCAGGACAGGGGAGGACATTTGTTGAAGTCTTTTAGACCAGGCTGAGATGCTTACAAGTCTAGGTCAGTGTTTCAGCAGAGCCAAAAAATACAGTGCCGGGCACTGGAAGAGAACAGCGAGGGTGCCAGCTGCAAGTCTGGTTATCGCAGTCTGAGGGGGAGTTCAACTCGTGTGTGGAAGCCACATCACCAAGAGCCACCCCACCAGCTTTCAGGGAAGGTCTGAGTCCCTGCGCTGAGGTTACTGGGAGAGCCAGCTCTCTGCAGTCTGCAGTTGGGGTACAGAGGCTTGCACTGGCTTTGCTCCTCGTTACAGGATTAACAGTCTAATAAAACTCGGAAAGGAAGTCAGGGTCTTTCTGGCCTGCCCAAAGAAGTGTTTCCCAGCCTCAAGAAAGGAGTTACCACTGAGGGAGCTGTTGTGGAATAGTTTTATTTCTTCCCACGTAAAGGCCATTGTTTAAGCATTTACAGGTTTCCTAGTGCAATACAACCAAAAAAAGCAGTAACAAAAAAAATGCCGCCTTCTTCCCAGGCAACTAAACAGAAGTAGATTTTTTTTTTTTACTGCAACATATACACATTAAATATAGTATACAGTCCATGCAGCGGCATAGCCATGTTAAAGGGAGTCGTGGCTTCAGCCATCAGTGCATTACAGTCCGAATTTCACTTGCTCCTATTTCCTATCCAGACTTGAAGAGAAGAATTGCAACCTGACCCAAGTAAAAATAGATGAAGTGCTTTGTCTCGTGTGTTACATAGCTGCCAAAGTTTCTGCCAACAATGCAGTGCCAAGTTGGGTTGTATTTCTTGTCAAATTCCTGAAGAAAGAGAAGAGAGGCATTAAGGCCAAAAAAGCCCACATGAAAATAGTTCTAAGCACAAATTCTTAGCTGGTTCTGTTCACACACTATCACCTCCCCCCTGCAGCATCCTTTATTTATTATATTAAGCAAGATAGTGAGCGACTCTGTGCTGGATTGTTTGAAGGATCCAACACAAGCAAATCATCTCCTGAGACATGGAACATCCATCAGCCCTGCGCAGAAAGAGCAAGGCAAGAGCTCTCCTTAGCAGAGCGCTATTCAAGCCCTGTGTGTAGGCTAGCTCAGGGGAATATTTCTCCTCTCCCATTCCAAACCCACTCATGAAAAATAAAAAATAGTTCTGGCATATCTGCTACAGCAAGGCATTTGAGCTTAAAGGTCGCCCAGAAAAAGGACGGACAAGTATGGCTTCTGTTGTTTAGGATTCCTCTTCACGTAAAAGGAAGAAAATTTGTTTTAAAAATAAGCAGGCAAACTCACAGGACAGACAGCACATGGAGACCTAAGAGGTCAGAGGTGAGCAAGCTGAATGCTGGCTTAATAAACAGGTAGCATAGGGTTAAAGACCATTTTCCTCCCTCTAATTAAAACACAACTCCCAAGAACACCCTTTCCTCCCCTGAGACAGAGCAAGAAGAACAGACTCAACATTCGAGATTAAAGCAAGCGTTAGTCCTCAGACCTCAGCAAAGCAGTTTGAGCTCTCTGCAGGTAACCTTTGAAGTAAGGAAAAGCCTTTCTTGCCAGGGCACGAAGGTGCATCAAATTGCTTCCCTCCTTCCCACACACTCTCTGGAAATAAAGGCCAACTTCTTTGTCGATGCCTTCTGTTGCACTCACTCACTTTACAGGCTGCACTGTCCCAAGCACTTTGAGCCAAGTCTTGTGTCAAAGCGATCAGAGAGGGCAAGAGATACCTTTGAACCCTTTGCATTCAAGCTTAGATTACACGCAAGGCCCGAAAGCTGGCCGAGGTACCAGCATCACGTTGACTATGAAGTCACACTATTTTCTTTCAAAAGCACTTTGCCTGACCATTTGGAGAAGTGGCTCTGGCAGGAACAGACAGCTCCCTAGAGGCTGTCCAACATGAGACTTGAGTTAATGGGCTCCTGCAAACAGGGAGACACCTTCTTACAAGCCAGGGCAGCTGCCTGCCCTGTTTTTACAGCAGCACCTTTCACAACTCTGCAAGCCAGCACAAGGCCTCATCCTCCTCCACCCACCCCAGGAACACGGCAGACCATCACACGTGCACAGCTGCCCACCCTGGGTGAAACGTTAGAGTCATCCCACTCCACATCAGTACTGCGAATCAGGCAGCAGCACCCAGGGAGCAAGTCCTAAACAGAGACTACATCCAGCTCTCTCCAGGCTGGAAAATCCAGAGGGACAGCACTCACACTGCTCAGAGCTTGCCAGAGCAACAGACCAGGCCCTGCTCTGCCACAGCCCTCCTCTGACCTTGGAGAAGTCACTCCATCCTCTTGGGAACAGCAGTAAAGCAGCCGAGAAGCAAAGCATCTTCTCCCACCAAACACACGAGTATGAAGCCTCAGACACCCAGGCTCACGACAGGCACACATACTTAAGAGCTTCAGGAAGTCTCAGCAGTCCCCTCAGCCCGTAGTTACCTTCTTTATATATGCTGCAATGTCCTTTTCTATGTTGTACTTCTCCATTGCCTGTGTAGCACAGTCTACAGCATCCTGCTGCATGTCCTCAGACATGTCCGCATTCTTGATCACAGCCTTTCTGTCAGACATCGTGAACCTAAGGCAAAACATAGACTCCTTTAATCCCTTCCCAGGAAAGGAGAAGCTTCCCATGCATCAGCAGTTGTCCTTTCTATGTCAGGCTGCGTCACAAGCCAATACTACAGCCCCCCTGGTCTGGCCCGGGTGAGTTTATCAGGGTAGGCTACAGTAGTCCCAGGCTAAGAGATGCCCCCGATAGCCAGAGCACTGTAGCACTGGCGCTGTCCAGAGGTTGGATCGGAGGTAGCCCAACATCACCACCTGCATTAACCACATGCTGAAAAAGCTTACTGTGGGGGAGGAGACGGGATCTGCAGAGAGGCACAGCCCTCCTACACATCAGTAGGCTACAGCCAAGTCTGCCTTCCAGGTGCACCAGCGGTTGGGAGCATCATCTGCTCCAAGCTTTGCAAGCGCCACATCCCAGACCGCTCGCCTTCAGACGGGAAGCACGTTAACAGCAGCAGTGCTTTTATTCTGAACCACGCCAGGAGTTACAGCTACTGCTGCTAGTTTAGCCTGGAAGGAGCATTGTCCCACATTCAGCTTATTACCTCTCCACTGCTTTGCCACTGAAACCCAAACTTCAGCTGTTCCCATGGGACAGAGCCAGTCTGACAAGCCAGAAACAGGTTAATGCCTCGCTGCAGCCTAGGAACAGGGGAGGGGGAGAAACAAGCCCCACCACAGAGCCAGAGCCTGGCAGAGCAGCCTCCTTTTCCTCCCTCTGCCCGTGAGCCACAGCACACATGCTAGAAACCAGCATGATCCTGCTGCCCATGGCCTGGAGCTGAACCTGTAGCCCCCTTCACTCTGCAAGTTCAGGTGCTTTGCACCAATCACTGAAGCCAATGACACACCAATCTGCCGTGGCTGTTCCTCAGATCAGCATTGGGAAGTTTCCAGTGCAGTTCATATTATCCTACAAAACAGGAGTATTTAGCAATCCCAACCCTGCAGCCTTTCTTCGAGCAAAGGCCATGACTCAAGCCCTGGGGAAGGAGCCTTGCTCACCCCAGCACCTCTCCAGGCTCCAGAGCCCTCGCTCCCCAGCCACACACAAGACTTGATCAGGGGGCACATGTTATCTGTGGACCAGCCGAGCTAAGATCTGCGCTGAGAAGGACCACTGCTGCTCACCTTGGCAGCAACTCATACCAGAGCATATTAAAACTTTGTGGGAATAAGCTGCTTAATGGCAAGGAGGGTCTCCAATTAAGCCTGCAGAGCACCATTAAGTTTCCTAAATCCTTTTACCTTGCTGTAAGTCTTGAGTGATACTACCAAGCGTGTTTTCAAATAGTGAAACTACACATTTTTAGCTCTACTGGGGAGTGAAGAAAATCTGCTGCAATGATAGCTTCCTGGAACAATCCCAGAAAACTGAAGGAGTAGCTTTGTTACAGCAATTAAAGGAGCCTGCTACCCAGAGAGAAAGAGAATCCAGTTACATAATTGCAGCCCTATGATTACAATACTTCAATTCTTCACTCTGCCTGCTGTTGAAGACTTCTATTGCAACGTTAATTTATACATTTTAGATACAACATTTAATAGAACACTGCTATTAACACACACTAATAGCATCAGGAAGAATGACAGGAACTGAGCTCAAATGCCAACAGAGCACATGCGCTCCTACCGCAGCTCTGGACAAGTCACTTCCTGACAGTTTGTGCCCTCCTGTGCTGTGGCTTAAGCCAGTGGGGTCTTAGGTTGTGGCCCAGCAACCCTGGCAGGACGAGACGTGGCTCAGAACAGCCCAACCAACTGCCTGTAATTTGGATTCACTGTCCAGGAATCTGGCAATCCCTTGTGAAAGTCTTCAAAGGGTCCAGCCCACAGGAAAAGGGAAGTAGCAGAAATTCACTTCTGGGTCATTTTTCCAAGAAAGCCTCTTTGGGGAAAGACGGCCAGTAACCTCTCACACCATCAGGCCTTCGCACATGGCCGCTGCACGCAGAGTTCAGAGGGCATTTCCCATTACATAACCAGCCATGGAGTGACCTGCAAAAAGCATCTTCCTTCCTCATTGTTTAGGCAAGGAGCATCTCAGTGCAGGCCTATGCTGCCGAGGGCCAACAGCACCAGAGAGAAAAAAAAACAAAACACACCACCACATTATCCTTCAGTAGAGCTGCAAGTGCTGGCCAGCCTGCCCTCCCCAGCGTCACACTGCTCCAGGGCACGTCATCTTTCACAGGCCCACCACAATAGGGGCTGGCAGCCAGCTATGAGGTTGAAGGGACAGTCCCCAGCACCTGCCACGGGGCAGAAAGAAGCTCCAAATATCACTCCATCCATTCACTTGAACATCACAGAGTAGGGCCCCAGTCTCCATTCATTCCCCCCATGGGGTTACGGAGGCATCCTCCCTGCAAAGCGGCCCAGCAGCACCATGTATGTTCCTTATCCTTAAACCACGAGATCACAGCTGGCCCTCAGGATCTCTGAGGAAAACTACAAAGCCCAAGCAGCCAACCTAGGGCAGGACAGGCCCGGGAAGGGGTAACAACACAGTTCCAGCAGCCACCCCTTCCTTGAGGGAGGAAGGGAAGACCACAGCCCCAGCAGCCACTCCAGGGTGGGACGAGGCCTTCAGAAGGGAATTAGACCCAAGACAGCACCCAATCCTTCCCTCACCTGGGTAGCATGAGGTCTCAGAAGGAGTAGGAGGCCCAAGCCCAGCACCCAACCACTGCCCCAGCACAACAGGACGGGGCTCTGGGAGGGGGATGAAGCTCAGGCTCAGCACTCACTCCTCCCCTCACCAGGACCAGATGCAGCTTCGGGACAGGGA